TATTTATCGCCAAATTGTTTTATGAAGAATAGCAAAAAAATAAAAATCAATACGTTCAGATGATTGCCCGATATGTCCTGAATTTTGCTCTATATTTTCGACGTTTTTGCTGTTGTTTTGTACAAACGTGAACACTTCGAGTAAAGGTCAGTCGAAAATATTTTCTTAAAAATGGCGTAGTTCACGACAGCGCGATAAGACAAGTACACTTCAGGAGATGTTCTGTGAAAATATACTGCCGAATGATTATTTTTTAGTTGAAGGGATGGTTATATAAACCGAAAATTTTACCACAACAATAATTTTTGCTACTGTCATAAAATTTAAGAAGTTTCGGACTTTTAAATTAAGAAACAATTTTTGAGGAGCTTATCAATACTCGGACGATGGCTTAGAGTTGACAATCTTATGACTAAAATAACGAGTATATTTAACAGAATTATATATTTGAAATGTTTAAAGAGTGTACAAGTTGTTTATGTTTTGATAAACTTTCGATTTCGATAATTTTGTTGACTTTAGTTCAATGCGAGTTCTGATATTATTATGTGAATCTATCCACCGGGAATTGTATATATCTCATGACATTTATTTCTATAACATAATCAAGCCTTAAATTCCAGTATTTATCAAAATACAGCTTACCTTCGAGAGAAAAACGGCTATTATTATAAGTGTCCGAATAGCGGACCAGCTGTCCGAAATGTGGTGATGAAAATGAAGTACTTGTTTTCGATATTGCAGAAAAAATAAAGAATTTTAGCGATGTATCTCTTAGAGTAATGTAGCCATGGGAAGTGGTCGTCATCTGTACAAATTTGAACCTGCTAACCATCTTAAATCGCAAAATATAGTGTGAAAACACTTTACTGTCCGAAAATTGGACAACATACTGTATATATAAGATATATTCGTAAATAATGTGGTTTACGAAACGCAAAGAGTGCTCGATAACATATAGTCAGAGCAAACATATCATTTTCGCTTACCTCAAAAAGTCTGCTACAGGCTGTTTCATCCGTATAGGAATCTATACGGATGAAACAGCCTGTA